GCAGTCTACCGCAAATTAGGGTTTCATTTTGCATCAAGATGTTTGAGTATAAAAGATCCCAAATGCTCACCATTATCCTAATATGTTATCAAGATCATCCATGTCAAGTTTCAAGCCTTGCAGAGGAATTTTGCTCAGTCAATTGCTCAAAGGCCTGAAAATCGACTGTGCTAGGGCAAAAGTCAACGGTGGCCCACATACAGTCAAACTTCAAGATTTTTGGTCAACATCATCATTTTGAAGTATTATTCATCATTTGATCAAGGGTTGATCATGATTCCTCAAGGATTGCTCATAATTCATCAAAACCCAAAAGTTGCTAAATTAGGGTTTTGTAAGAAAAGTCAACTCAACTTTGACCAAGCATAACTTTCTCATACTTTATCAAAAATGACCCATCCAAAGATTATTTTGAAGAGGATGTAATTACCTACAATTAATCTTCACCCCCTAAGTTCAAAATATGCACTCACAAGAAGATATAAATTTGGACATTATAGGTCATTTTGGAAAGTCAACAAAAACACCTTTTGGGTCAAAGCTTAATACATGAACATGGAAGACTCATTTGAGATGAGACCAAAAGGGTTGCTTAGAGGACATCTTGAGCTTTATAAAAATCCCCAGAACATATCTCTAGGGTCAAAATTGAAAGAGTTATGCATGGGTAAAATTGACCCTTTTTGGAAAATTGCCAAAAGTCAAATATGGCCAAAATTGCATTTTTTGCTAAATGGGCCCAACTTTTTATGCTTGCACTGAGTTTGTAATGTGACCCACGACCCATGAGCCCTTCCACTTGTCATTATTTTTTTTGTCATTTATTTTGATTTTATTTTATTTAAATCAAATAAAATCAAATAAAATCAAAATAAAATAGTAAAAATACCAAAAGCTAATCAAATCTTGAGATTTTGTGCATGTTTAGGATCATTACACAGCTGGAAGTAAGATCAAATCGTGCAAGACTCATATGGACACAAAAAGATTTCATTTTGCTTGATTTGGAAAGATTATGTACAAGAATCAAATCATGAATCAATATTCATAATGGGAGAAGAGTTGAAACAAATGCCAACCCTAATTCATTCTTGGATACATAAGGGACAATTGAAGATCAAAAAGAAGGAGGTGGGAGGCGTGCAAAACAGAAAACAAAGTTGCAAAAATTCAAGAAAAGTTGTAAATCAATTTCCAAGTTTCAGGCCTTCTCAAGCAATTCTAACCATCCCAATTGTTTGCTGGATATCCCTGGATCATATTGCAGCCATTAGCAAGCCTTCCCACGTTCAGAATTGCGCTGTAAGTATCACACGGTTTCCATATTTTCTTGAAATTGAATACAATCATTCTGGAATTTTTAACATGATTTATTAGCATATTCTTAATACTTGAGTTATTTGCAAGCTAATGGTTACATTTAATTGCGTTTTTGCTGACTGAACATGAAAGTTCCATGGCTAGGGTTCATGCTTTGTTTTTAGGGGTTTTGCATACATGAACAATTGGCCATTAATAATGGTACCATGATGCTCGTGAGGTTGCAACGAGTTGATTGGTACCATTGGTTGTCATTTATCAGGCCTGTATGAAATTTTGGAGAAGCATAGGGTTGTACCTACACCCAGTGTCCGTAGGTAAAAGTAGTTTGTCTAAAACGACAGAGGCACCGAGGAAGATGATGGCGTGGCATGTTGTGAATGGGCCATTTGAATTTCGCGCGTTTCAGAATTTGTTTTTTTGGTTTTATCATATAATATTTGTTTGGTATTATTTGTACAATTAACGTGGCCAGCTCAAATGGTAAGCATGCAGCGTGATAGTGCTCAAGGACCTAGGTTCGATCCCCAGGTCCCCATATTGCTTCATATTATTTTTCCTTGCATAATCAGGTACACGAGTCTCCCATGTGACTACCATGCGTCATCAGCATTCAACAATCAGATCCCCAGCATGCCAGATCCAAGGCTTCCCACGTGAGGGTCCACCATGCGCTGGAGTCAAATGTACGCACAGAATCTGGCAAAGTCAATGGGGCCAGAACTTGTTGAGCCAAGCAATTTCCATCAACACCCCTCCTTTTGCTAACATCAGGCCTATCTTTTTTCTTTCTCCTCTATTTTATTTCATTTATTTAAATTAATTAGTTTAATTATTTTCTAACACAAATAAATTCTTTTTTTATTCAAAAAATCATAAAATCAAATTTTCACAAATTTAGAATTAAGTTTTATTTTTATCAAATTTAATTTTATATTAGTTTAATTTAATTTAGGATAATTCTAATTTTTTGTATATAATTAAAATCAATTAGAAAAAATTTGGATTTGCTTTTGATTTAATTTTTATTTCTTTTCTCAAAACAAAAATACAAAAATAAGTCAATTTAATTATTTTTCTTAAATTTAAATTAATTAGTAATGAGGTTTTTATTTATTCAATTAAACCTTATTTTCTCAAAATAGCACAAAACCATAAAAAATGATTTTCTTCTTGTAAATTACAATTAGGTAGTTGGGGTCAAAACCCTAAATCTCTCGTTGTCGATTCATCGCACGCGTTTATTATTTTTGAAATATTAATGTAACTGCTCACGGTATGTAATAGTTTAATTAGGATTTTCATTATTTATCATTTTACGGGTTTTTGGCTATGTAATTAATCCCTACCCCGAAGCCTTGTAATTGTGTAGGTTTTATTTCTTGCATTTTAATTCTCGCGAATATTAACTGTTAGATGTATGTTAATAGGATTGTATGACAAGATTGCATGTTAATTTAAAATGGCTAGCAAACCCTAATGTGCAAAGATAATAACTTGAAATCAAATCACTCGCACATGCGCACTCCTAGGGTATACTTTCACTTCGGTTTCCTTCGGTAAACGGTCATTGAGTATAGGGTGTCTTAGTGGTTTCCCTCTTATCTAACAAAGATCAAAAGTCCCGTTCAGAAATGTTTCCTTGGAACTTTTGCCTCGAATATGATCTTAAGACACTAGGGTTATTACTAAGACGTCCTAACATTTCTTTAGTGATCGCACGTCCCTTACGAATTGACCCTTGCAATTCCAACGACGGTGCTACCTATTTCTCAATAATAGGATATCGTTGTCTAAAGGAAACAAGAACAAAAATAATCTTTTTTCGAGTAGGTAGATGCTAGTAGGTACTTTCTCAAAACAAACTTTTCACACTTACACTTTTCGAACAAGTTTTCAAAAACAACTTCGTAACACTCTTGAGGACAGAAACAAGGGTTAAAATAAAGTAAAACAAAACTTTTCAAAACAAACACACGCAAGCAATTTTAAAAGATGAGCAAGTACCTATAAGCCCATGGAAAACCATGGATAAAAAGGTTGCTAACACCTTCCCTTTCTATAATATACCCCCCGTACTCAAAATCTCGAAAAAAGGAATTTTTCTGTACTTTTTTCCTTTCCAGTTGGATAAAATAAAAGTCGGTGGTGACTCTTGCTTACCGTGATATTTTGTGAATAAAAACGTAAAACACAAACCATCATTTTCAAAACAGTAGGTTCTGCCACCGTATCACACAGACAAACTCTAATTGAAAACTACCTCAGATCAGTACTAGGCTTGCCATTGGAACATATTGTTGCCCTCATGCTATCATTTCATAGTTGTAACTTGTTATGCCCTGCAACATCACCGAATATCAGCCCTGCACTCAAGCAAACTAAACTAATTCCCTTGCTCAAAATCAGAAGCAAAAACTCAGAACATAAAATATAAAAGAGGATGGAAGATGAATTCAAGAAACTGCGGAAACAAAAAATCAAGAAATAATGAAAACAACACTCTAGCCCAACAACAAAATAGAGGCAGCAAACAGAAAACCACTTCACAACAAAAACCACTCCATCAAAAGCCTACTAACAACCAGTCTTGTTGCCTTATTCAGAAGTAGGAAAATAAAAAGAATGGAAAAGGAAACGTGTCCTGCATTTGTATAGCCAGAAGATAAAAAGATAAAATAAAACTCAGCTTCGAAACCGACTGTCAGTTCACAAAACTGCATTCCTCAGAATAAAACCAAAATTTTAGCTCAAGAGCATTTGACAAACTTCCAGTAAATCTCCTAATTGTTTTCTAACTTCCCCTAAACGAACAACTAACTAACTGCTACTAACTAAAAGTTTCTATCCTAACAGAACTAACAATTCAACAAATCATCTTCTAACCAAATCTAACCGCACTAACAGATTTCAACAAAACTTCCTAATAGAAAACAAAACTAACTCTCAATTTCTAACTGACAGAATTGTTGCAACTAACCTATAACTGTCAAAACATATCCAAGACTTTTTTCTCTGTAACTAACTCTAACAACCTTTTTTCACAAAATTAACTAACTAACTATCACCTCTAACTAACTCTAACCAACTTCTAACCATACTAACTGCAACCAAATAGAATTCAGGAAGAACTATAAAAAAGGATATAAAAGAATGTAACAGAATGGAGAGAGAGGGAGATAGGAGGCATTCATAACAAAAAGTGAGGGAAGAAAATCAGGGACTGACCTTGCTATCTTCACCTTGCTCAACCACCTCCAAATTCTCTAAACGCACAACTTCATCTTCACCATCATTTTTTCACTTCATCAGAAGAATCACTACAAAGAGCTCATAAGTTCTCTCTGCACTCTCTCCAATCATCATCATCATCACGTATCAAACTCTCACCTTGAACCCCACACCTTCACCTTCTTCTACTACCTTCTTCTCTAAGTTCTACACCATCTTCTCTCTTTACCTCCTTCTCCATCACCACCAAGAAAACCATAAAAAATGCTCTCTCTCTGATTCAATCCACCAAACCTTTCTCTGCAATTATCATCCTCAACTTGCAGAATTCTATGCATCTTCATCTATTCATCATTCTTATGGAGAATCACAAGATCATCTTCATCCATTCTTCTATCACTAGGAGAATCACAACAACAAAATATCAGAAATATCTCATCTCTCTACCATCAATTCTTGTACTTGATTCCGTGTCTCCAACCACCTTCAATCTTCACCGTAACCTTCCTCTGCGATAAATCCTTCACACATCTCTTCAACATCGTCACCAAGTCCATTACACGAAAATGTTCTCCTCTTCGATCTTCAACCATTTTCATCACCAATGCAATTTCTGAGATGCTTCAACATAGTAGCTTCAATACACATCATCGACGCGACAAAAAAAGTGTGAATGTGAAAGGAAGAATAAGTCATCGGAATCGAACGCAGAAATAGGTAGAAGAAGAAGAAGATTGACTGGAGAATAGGTGAAACATACCTGAGGAATCTGAAGCCTGAATCTCTAGATTTCTTTTCATCTTCGTCATGCTTGAAGACACACCAGACGAATTCTGGAGGAGATTTAAGTGGGGACGTTTGATTCAGTGATGAAGAAGAAAGGGTGAAACGCGAACGGTGTTGAGACTGATCCGCGAAGAGATGAGGTAAAGAAGATGCGTTTCACGGAGACCTGCTGCGGCGAAATGGATCGAAGAAGATTGATCTGCGACGACGAAATAGAGAGGAATGTTCAAAGAATTGGGATCGCCATAAATTCAAGCCTAAACTTATCTCCGTACGCTGTGTTTTGATACTCTTCCATCTTTCCCATTTTGTTTTTTTAGTTTGTTATATAAAATTCTAAATATACTAATTGTACATATGTTGAAGCAAAAATTGAATCAGACGTGGATTTGGGTGTAACATGGACTGGACTCCTTAGGCCCATATGTTAAATTTTTGTATCCATGGAAATTGATACAACAAAAAACTACTTATGGACTCTATCTGATTGGGCTTTTGGAACTTGCTGAACACTAACCCTGACTTCAGTATAACACCATATGAGTTTACTCTTTCAATATTTCCTTTTGAATAATTTTGTGAATTATTTAGATTTGCTTGAACTTTTTTCTTTTATATGATAAAAATAATAAAATCAATAAAAACTTGTAGATTTTTTTAATTTTAGTTTTAGGAGATTAAATTTCGATTATCCGATTATATTTGAGATTGGTAATTCACCTTTGTTTGTTAAGATCTGAGTCTTGTGAAGGTTTATTGTGTGATATGTGGATATGCTCGAGATTTCGATTGTGATTTATTTTCACATCGATGATGCTTCGACACTTATTCCAAGTGTTTGATTTATGACTCTTTTCTTTAATTGGTGAAGATTTCATGAAGATCGTCGGGTTTCTTTGTTTTGATACGCTTCACTACGAATTGATATTCGTTTGGTATTTTCTCTTGTTTATCTCATTTCGTAATTTATTGATTTCTAGATACCATGAGAAGTAGGAAATAAAGAGTGTGCGCTCGAAGTCGCTGTTTAAAAGACCTGTAGCAGGAATTCCACACTTTATTTGTTGTATGTGTTGTGCTTGTGTTTGTTTCCTTAGTTGTTGATCGATGAGTCACTCAATTTAGAAATTGAGATCACGACTTCGCTCTCAGTGCATGCTCCCTATAAGATTTTATCGCTTTCCTTTATTTCTTGTTGATCGATGAGTCACTCAATTTAGAAATTGAGCTCACGACTTTGCTCTCATTGCATGTTCCTCATAGGATAGTTTTGTTATACTTTCTTTGGTATGCTAGCCAAGGTAGGATCTCTCTAGCTGTGCTCTCTTGAGCTTATTGGCTTGCTTGCTTGATTTCGTCTTTGTGTGCATATTTTGAGATGATATACCCTCGACATGTTCCCTTAGGAGCTCTCGATTCAACTATAGATGATGATTCGAGATAGACATAATTTTAGGTGATAGACCCTTGCTATGCTCCTTTAGGACTTCTCGATTCATCTATAGAAGATGAGTTGAGATAGAAATTAGGATTGTTATCCGAGCATGTCCATATAGGTTAAAGATTTCCCTTCAAAATCAACCATAGGACCACTATTGTATGATAACATTAGGGATAGATCTAGGTTAGTCTCTCTTAGATGTTTTCTTTTCCTTTGCATCCTTTCATTTAAAACAAAAACTTTATTTTTCTTAACAAATGCATAAAACATCTAACAATTTTTAAATCCTTTTTTAAGGTAAAAATATCAACCAATGTAAACTCTTTTGCTCCTTCGGGATTTCCTTTCAAACATTTTTCAAAAGAACATGTTAATTCACTTCTGTGCTGGCGCATAAATCTCCAAAGGTCGAGTTACGGCAGAAGGCGAAATTAATATTTTTCATTAATATTTTCCTTAAAAGGGATACATAGGCATTGGGGTAAGGCCCGAGCGAGCACAACTTTTATTCCCTACGTTATTTTCTCTTTTCTTTTGCATGTATTCCCCGTACAGCTTAGATATAGATTCTTACACACCCATAAGATAGACAACAAGAGTGGATACTGTAGAGTACTACGGGCGTGTGGGGTGCTAATACCTTCCCCTCATGTAACAGACTCCCTTACCCGATCTCTCGGTCGTTTAATTGTGATTTCACCCTTCTCAGGTTTACTCGATGTTTACCTTTCCCTTCCCGTGGGATAAAAAACATTTGATGGCTACTCCATTGATTTCATTATCAGTTGATTATTCAGCCGGTTGTTTCAGCTGGCGACTTCGCTGGGGATAGATTGACCTATTGATGGTCCATCCCGGAGTCGATCCTAGCTCTTTATTTCTTCTCTTTGGGTGTTTATTTTTATGCTTTCAGTTTATTCATTTGTACATGTTTATCTGAGCATATGTTTGCATTACATCTTTATTGTTTTCCATATACTACTGTTGTGTTGGTTTCCGTGTTTCTTTGTTGGATGGGTGTTACTATGAGGTAAAAGGCCCAATACCCCGACCAAGTGACAAACAATAGAAACACTAGGAATATAATGGAATATGACGGATAAGGGATGTAGATTTCCCTAGATGGTTGTGTCTTCCATGCTCAAATGAGGTTTTAATGAGTTGATATCATTATCACGTAGGTGTACAATGATAGTACTCTCAAGCGAACCCGTGATTTTGAGTTACCTTTTCTTACCCTGACCTAGTTTTCACCCGTGAGTGGGGAGGGACTTGATTATTATAGGTACAGGTGGTGACTATGTTCTGATGGTGACCGTTGTTCTGTTGATGACTATGTGGGTCTCAGATTTATTTTTTGAGTTGCCAGATTCAGTATTCAGGATGATCTTCTTTGGTTATGTTTTGGACCTATGACCCCGATATATTCAACGTGTTTAGAAACTATACAATAGTTGTTCAGCAGATTTATACATCCGTTATCCAGAGGGTTGTACAGATGTTATTCGATTGAACAATTGTTATCCATGTTGTGCTCAACTTTTGAACCTATGTCATTGCACCTTGCATCATAGCATGTTTATTTTACACAAAAAAATAAATGTGAAAGATTGTATGCATAAAAAGGATATTTGAACATGTAATTGCATCCGCTCATTCACCTCATGCACCCTCATGCATCTTCGTGCATCCATAGCAGGTATTCAGAATGGGGAATCCTTATTCAGACTCGGTATTTTCTTTTCAGAACAGCAAATCTTGACTTCTCACCGCTTTGTTATCTGAAAAATCCATGGAATGACTTTATGGGGGATTAGATGAGATGACGAATTGAAAAATCAGATGAGGCTATTTATCATGGACATGAAGGAAATGGTCCATGGTCAGAAATCTTTAAGGGGAAAAAATAACCAGTTGAAGACTTGGTTGAGTCGGGTATGGAAGTTCTTAAGACAGTGTCAGCAGGGAAGTGGTAATGTATATGTTATTACAATAAAAACTGTCATTCATCCCCAGCCCATGGGACATTTTTCAAATCGAGAGATACATTGTAGGTCTCATCCAGAACTTCATGTTCCCGGATTTTCTTGCTAGCAGCTAGTTTCTGGTCTCCAAGTGAACCCTTGGGGTAAAACTTACCAACAGAGATAGAAAAAGCTTGAGAAGCAGGTTAATACAATCTTTATACCTTGTATCTAGTTACTTCCTCGTGTATTGGAAGCTCAGTTGATTAAGCTTTGTGCTTTGGGTCATCCCCTCACAAATTTATCCCCTAATTTCGATGCAAAAGCTAGATGTGTCTCCCATTCTGGGGCACTTGGTTATGATATTGAATACTGCAAGGGGTTGAAGTATGAAGTCTGGTACTTGTCGGGCTTATTTTCCAAGGTTCAATTCATGTTTGGAAAACCGTTTCAGGCTCTTTTTCCTCAACTGAATGCTTCTTATGTGTAAGTAGAAGATGGGGTGATGCTTCTGTGACAAAGAAGTATAAGATATCGAGATCTTGGACATCCGCTGCCGTGTAGAAAGAAAATACCTCAAAGGTCGAATTCTACATTCAGAGTTTATCTTCTTCTGTGTAGTAGAATATTCTTTGTTACAGTTACTGAATTTTTCTTCTCTGTAGTAGAAGACATAGACTCTTTTGTGAAGTTGGAGATTCTCCATAATTTGGTTGCTAAAACTTCTCTCTTGTGAAGTAGGAGATGAAGTTTACTTTCTTCTGTATAGTAGAATATCCTTTAGTATGGTTTTTAGATGTTGCTTCTATATAATAAAAGACGGTGCTTCTTTTGTGTAGTAGGAGACGCTCTGGAATTCAGTGGCGGGATTTCTCTTCTGTGTAGTAGAAGATGGTTGGCATTTCTTCTCTATGGTAGAAGATACTTTGTGATGCAGTTTATGCAAGTTCGCTTGATAAAGCATTCATCACATATGGTGAAGGAATTCGATGTGATTACCATATCCGGGCACTTGGCCATTCAACCGAAGGTTATAAACCATTCAGAGATGAAGTGCAAGACTCGCTTGATGCACATGCTATCAATTTCGGGCCAGCCAGTCAGATTTGAAGTCTCCCTTGACTCTGAATATCAAGACTACCAAGCGCATATTTTGAAGCAATAAGTCCATACAGAGACTAGTCTCCTCAACATGGCAATTTCAAATTACATTTGAATTCTCATTTGTAATCTTCCTTGTTTTGGTTCATTACTTTCTGGCGTGCAAAATTTGCTTATTCCTGAATACTAACCATAATGCATTGGATATGTTTGTCTTGAATAAATCCATTCGAATTCACTCATTAATGTTTTTCTTTTCTTCTTGATACTTAACTCTTGTTAAACAAAGCAAAATACCTCTGAAGAGGATAATGAATAATATATCAAAAATTTCAAACGATGTGCTTTTGAATAAAAACCCTACTGACGATGTACAAGCATTGTTTCAAATCCATAAACACCAGATATATAAGGGAGTGAAAACCTCGTTAACCCCTTTGAGCCTTGAAGTAGGAGTTTATTTTCTGTTCAGAAAAAACCCCATTTTTAAACCTGGGGCAGAGTAAATTCCAGTTAA